CTTCCTGACTTATAGATTCTTCTCAGAGATTTTCACTTTTCATTGCTCTCGTATATACACGTATATCTGCTTCTGTTCTCATTGATGAAATTAAGTTGTTCTTCATTCTGCAATAGAATTTTCGCTTTTCTTTCGCTACAAGATATTGATGTGTCGTGATTTTTTAAATAAACGACGTGAAAATAGTTATCACATGAACTCTTAACTTATTTTTTCTTATTGATTATTCAACAAATATTGTTACTTTCTCATTGAAAGGTTGTTTAAACAACTTGTATTTTTGACTACTTTATGTTTTGTTTATATTAGTGAAACTAAACAAAATGAATCCTATGGAAATAACGAAGTCAATAACGAGTCATGTCATTAATACTATAGTGAAGACAACAACGAGAGTGACTCCGATTTTGATTATAATGAATTAGCACATAGTTTAGACGAACTTTCAATTTCGAAAGAAGATACGGATGCAAATGAAGAAGAGATGAATTCTATGAATGAAAGCCATAGAGCCGATGGCGATTTTACCCTAATTTCTCTCAAGAAAGTGACTTCAATTTCAGTTTTCGGAAGTTTTTCCACCGAAGAAGTTTTAAAACTAATTACTGATCACACGAACATCTGTCGAAAGGAAAAGAAAGGAAGAAAAGTCAGAAAAAAAGTCAATAACTAGAAGAATATGAGCAGGAAAAATATTGAATCGTTTCTTGAAATAATTATTCTACTGGAAATCAATGACTTGCCAAAGACGAAACTTTATTCGAGTAAAGACATTATTTTTCGTAATAGTTTTGTCTCTTCAATTATATCAAGAGATCGTTTTCTTCAAATTTTTTATAATTCCCTCGACTGTAGGGAGGGTCATATGAAAAAAAATGGGTTCTGTGTTTGTGTGTCTGTGTCGGGGTCAAAAGAACATCAGGGTCAAAGAAACATTCATTTAAAGTTCTTTTCTATAAAAGTTGACGAAAGTAAATCGGGGTCAGAGAATCCGAATCTGAAGTCAGCTTCTCGAAATTTTGAATTGAATTTTTTTGGTTTAGGAGAAAAGGCTTTTTTGAGAAAATAATTTTTCCTCGAGAGTGTAGGAAGGGTTATATGAAATAAAATAAATTTTTGTCTGTTTTTGTGAGAGTGAAAGGTGAAACGGCGTAAAAAACGTTGGCTAAGTATTCGATTCTCGTGCTTTTAATGTTGAACTTTCAACCAATTCGATTTTTCAGATTGAAAATTCAGTCAATCCGACATATGTGATACGTTCTCCCTTAATCAGCTGTTTCATAGCTGGGTGTCCATGGATGAGACTTGTATACTTCTGTCTGATACAGTCGAGGATCAAGTGAGCTGAATCGACGAACGTTACTTGTTTATAACTTCTAGGATTATCTCAATCGGATGAATTACATTGCTATCTTCTAATTCTAACTATTTAACTTAATTCAAATTAAAAGTTTAATTTTATTGACATGATTGCATTGTATTGTAATATATAGGACATACTCACAAGTTTGACTTCTGTGTGAATTTCGAATTCTATTTTTGACTATTATATAAAATATAAGGACTTATTAAGCAAAGATTTCTTCATTATTCTTTCGACTGAAAATTCACACTGAGTCAAACAAAGACTAATAGATAAAACAGTAAATTCAGTTGTGTTGTTTATATTTCAAACGCTCATATCTATCTTTTGTTTATTATCAACAATTTCGACTATGTTTATTTTCATCTATAAGTAGAAAATAAAATTTTCACTTTTATGAGTATTAATAAATCGTATTTTTTTTATCAATAAAACACAAGAAATAAAACTACACTTTCATTGATTTATAATTTAAATCTTCTGAAATTATTTTTTCATATAGATTGATAATGGAATGTTTTAATATAGTACAAAAATTAAAACTAAAACGATACGATAGATTTTATTCTCTTTTTTTCTTTGAAAGTCTTGTCTCTGAACAAAAAACGAACACAAAAATTTTAATTATTGTAAAAGTAGAACAATTACATTTAATAAATATGTTTACAAAAAATTAGATATTTCTTCTGATCGTACCAATTAAATTACAAATATCTCATGAATTTCTTAGCAACATGAAATCAATATTTATTTCTACTTCATACTTTTGTTTCATTTCAGTACCAATGCGTGCAAGTTCTATTGATATTCATCCAAATGCAACATGGTCAACGAATGGTATCACTGTTGCTGGAGGAAATGGATGGGACAGCAAAACCAATCAACTCTGGCTCCAATGGGATTTGTACGTCGACGATGATCAAATGATATATGTCATTGATGCTGCAAATACCGGCATTGTGGAATGGAAAAATGGTGGCTGGTGAAAATGGAGCTCATCAATTAAAATGGCCATGAGATGTGATTATCGACAAAGAGAGCGATAGTCTCATCATCAGCGAT